TTACAGGTGGGACACCAGTTTAAAAACACTCGCATGCAATAGTGCTCTACACCACTGTTTATGATCTGCATGTATGGGCACTGCTCACCACTCAGGATAGCAGCAGCTAAACGCTTCCTACTAAAGCATTTAGTTTGATTAGACTTTCTCGGGAGTGAGCAACTTTTAATTATACCTACGCTCCAGAGAACCAATCTCCGGTCTGCTACAGGTGCGAAGAAGCATTTCTTCACCAAAAAGGACTGTTGTAACTGTTAGAAACCGTGGTGGGGGGCTGCACTGCATGCGATCTGTACACAGCCACGATAAACCTACTGTGCATGTGCTAGGGCTTACATGATTGCTTCATTATTGGGCCAACATCTTGCTTCAGGAGGTAGCTACTTCCCTGTCATAAGGAGTTTTATGCTGTCTGTAGGAACTAATACATATGTGTCACTTATCCATTTAACATTGAAATCTGGCATTTGTTTTTTCCACTGGTGCTATGGGTGCTTTTTTATACCCATTGATCACTCTTCCACAGCAATGGAGCTCCAATGGAGTAGTTTACTTCCAAAGATATACCAAAGCGGTCATAATTTCTTAAACTGTCAATATGCTACAGCAGCATTATATTCTTTCAGCATTTCTTGTTAACACGAATTTCAGTTGTGAAGAAAGTCCACTATGTGTAACTTAAAGGGGTTGATTTACTAACCTTATAAACACACCACGAACATGTATACACCTCTGTAGTGTGTTCCCTCCCAACATGATCTATGGGTGGAATCTAAACACCTTTGTAGTGTGTACACACCCAGCAGGTGTGTTGTGCAAAGCCAAGCATGAATTGCAAGGTGATGTTGTGTAAATTAGCTCTATGTTGTGTTGCTTGGGTTGATGAATGCAGGAATGTAAATGCATGAGCTAACCATTTTTGTCTAAACTGTGAAGCAGCATTATATATGCATCATGTGCGTGATTTTTCCATATATGGCATTAGTGGAAATATGCTTTTAGAGACTTTTTGGTTGATAAATACGTTTTGCTGTGTGAAAATCACACGCACCTGGTGCGTGCGTGTGTTTAGGTTAGTAAATCACCCCCAAAATGTCAGTTTCTGCCTCGGCTTTGGAAGGTCCAATAAAGGAAAGTTACTGCACCAAGGCACTGGATCAAGAGGAGTTTTCCAGTTGGCTGCACTGGATCAGGAGTTTTTCAATAAGAAAGAAAAAACGGTACAAGGGCAAAACGCAACACAAGAGGGAAAGGGTTTAATAAAATTAAGTTTATTGCATTTTGTGCTGACAGGAGTCTCAAAACAAATGAAATCGGCACATTAAAGCTGTATGAATAAGTAAGGTAGCATTCAACCACAATGAAAACAACACTGCAAAAAAACTACACAAAACATGAAACTATTTTAAGGTACATAAATAAAAAAGCAGCCAGTATGTAGCAGTGTTTCATTTGGTTTGGAACAGGAGTATCTGTACATGGGTTAAATCTATATTCATAGTTAGAAACTAAAGGTTAAAGCATTTTCTTTACTAGCCATCTAGGGAAATAGCACACTTGCTAGGTTACTTGGACTTACGTAAAACATAGAGTGCATCAGGGACTTGTCAATCACATTGGTTGTGTGTATTCTCAAAACACATATATAGATATCTAATATGCGTGCATGTGTGTGTCTTTAAATATATATATACCGTATATAGCACAAAGTGAGTCAAATCAAAACTTCAAGCTTTTGGGAGTCCTTTACCTCTACTAGAATTAGGCTGTGTCTACCAGGTTAGTCTGGATTTCATAGTGCAACTTCTTGAAATACTATTCAATTTCCCACCTGCCCGTATCTTAGCTGCCATGATAGCATCAAGTTCCTTATTCCCTCCCCTCCCTAAATATATAAATACGTAACATATATATATATATATGTTCAGCAGCATAGGATAGCTGGAAGAATTCTGAGGAGATGTCCTGCTTCGTATTGTAAAGCATTAGGTCTGTGACTCAGAACCAGGGGCTGAGCAGTGCCCAAATCTTGTCCTTATTCCTAGAGATGTAATATCTGGTACCAAAATAACATTTTCTCAAAGGTCCCTGATATGTCTGCATAGAAGCAAAAAAGTGTGTGCCCAGATCCTGCCCTACAGAAATACCAAGTATTAGCAAGTTTATCCATTTATTCCAGCATTTTGGTTTCTCCGTCGACAAGTCACCAGTTTTGTTTGTTTTTTTGTTTTTTTTACAGTACACTCCTTTTTCTGTAAAATCCGATGAGGGTTAATCACTGGATGCAAACTTTTACTTTTAAGTGTGAAGCAGTGGGAGATTTTTTTGGGGGAAGTGTTACTTAAATCTCAATTGCACTGTGCTAAATAGCAGTCCAGATACATTGAGGGGTACGGTGAGAAGGTATATGGTCAAAGTCTTGTGTAAATGTTGGCAAAAGAAAATAGCCCCAGTATACACTGCAGCAAGGACTGATGCTCTCTGTGTGGAAGCAGTGAGCTCTTTGCAGCATACCCCCTCCTGAGTCAGATCTAGAGCTGTCCAATCAGCAAAGCTCAAGCTTCCTGCTGAATGAAAATATCTAGATTTGACTGGGGGCATATGGAACTGTCGCTTCAACACAGATAGCAAGGGTCATTTCTTCATTGTTTACCAGGGCTGATGTGTAGTTTGTTTTTTTACTGCCACTGGGAAACAAGTAACCACAATTACACAAGTAAGACATTGACCTTCTACATTTCTGCCCTCAATGGACCTGGACTGCTTTATTAACCAAGTAGAATTGGCCTTTAACTGTGTAATCCTTGCCAAGGCAATTCCCTTCCTTGTCCTGTCAGTCACCGCACTCTGTATTAGTCCCACATATGCCTATGCTGGGCTAACATTGCCAGGACAGGGAAGTTCTATGCTCAGAATTTTAGAATGACAACAGCTTCTCGGCTCAACCTTTTGAATGGAAGTGGTTCTTCTTTTGAAATAGCTGTTAATGAATAAACAATTACAGTTATACCTCATTTCACGGACACTTCTGTTCCCGAACATTTCGGTTCGCGAACAGGAAGTTCAGCAACATTTTGCTTCCGTTCACAAACTCCAAATCGGGTGACGAACACGACCGCGGCCATCTTCTTCACTCTGACATGTGATCGTGGCTTCCTTTAGTCGAGATCGCGGTCGCAGACAGACCTGTGCACGCTTGCTGTGAAGCTTTTTTTTGTTTGCTTTTTAGCACATTCAGTACTGTACAGTATTATTCAATCCAGCATGGCTCCAAAGAAAGTGCAGAGCAAGCATGGAGGTAAAAAGAAAGTGTAGAGCGGTAATGAATTTAGATATTTGTTCAGAATGGATTAACCTCATTTACATTGAACCTTATGGGAAAATTTGATTCTGTTTGCGACCAAAATGGGTTCGCGACCACGTTCGTAGGGGTCAGAATGGATTAACCTAATTTACATTGAACCTTATGGGGAAATTTGATTTGGTTTGTGACCATTTCAGTTTGTGACCAGAATTGTGGAACAAATTAAGTTCGTGAACAGAGGTACCACTGTATTTCTGTAAACGTTATACTTTTCATCCTATTCTACCAGATGTAAACAAAGATGCTTTTTAGATTGTAATTAATTGCCAATACTTTGTTGCCATAACCTCTCTGTGGACATCATTTGGAGCAAAAACAGAACCAGTTTTTCACTCTTCGAGGCACTTTAAGTAGCAAAAACTCAAGGATTCTTCCCAGTCAGACCAACATTACGTCACTGGCTATACTAAATGAGTAAAGCACAGCTGCCTAAACCTTGCCACCTTGAATTTAGTAAGTCAGTATGCTGTTATGAGTGAGGTACATCTTTGCACATATAACAGCCTAATAAAAAAACAACAACAACTCTAGTTTGAAATCACAAGCATGCAAAGCTGGTGAATTCCTTACTTCACACACAGTCACATGGATTTTTGACACTGGACTCACTACATCTGTGGCTCAAACTCAGAATGAAGAGGGGAACCTCGATTCAAGTTCATCTGCTTTTCAAACAATAAATAAAAAGATCAGTTGGATATATCAGAGGATGGTGTCATGCAGTTGTTTTTTATGCTGGGCCCATGTGGTCAGTGTGTAAAACAGTATCTCACGAGGTTGAGGACAGAGTACGTTTATAGCAAACACTACACTCTTCATTTTTAAACATGAAACCACCAGAATCAAAAATAAAACACTATATAAGCATACAAATGATATTATATATATATATATA